GTTTTTGTGTTTTTTGTGTGTTTTTGTGTGTTTTTGTGTGTTTTTGTGTGTGTGTGTGTGTGGTGTGTGTGTGTGTGTCTGTGTGTGTGTGTGTGTTTGTGTGTGTCTGTGGTTGTGTGTGTGGTAGTGTGTGTGTGTGTGTTTGTGTGTGCGTGTGTGTGTGTGTGTTTTGTGTGTGTGTGCTTGTTTGTGTTTGTGTGTGTGTGTTTGTGTGTGTGTGTTTGTGTGTGTGTGTGTTTGTGTGTATGTTTGTGTGTGTTTGTGTGTGTGCTTGTGTATGTGTTTGTGCGTGTGGTTGTGTGTGTTTGTGTGTGTTTGTGTGTTTGTGCCAGGAGGCGAATCAACCACGTAGTCTGACATGGCAGTTGGGGTTCGAATCCCGTGGGGTGACCACTACCCTCGACAATGGAGTCGTATAGTAGGGGTCGTTGTAAATAGGGGTTGTAAGGATAATGTGGCCTGCGTTGTCTCACAACCAACTGCGACAGCGGAGCACGGTCCTTTTGCCTCTTTACAGCTTTCCGTTGGATATTTGTCTTGAGCCACTTATCAAGAACTTGAGCCAAAGCATTAAAGGAGGGGAAGAGAACAGGGTGACCCTCAGAACCTGCCCTTGGGATTTTGGCCTGTGGCCCGGAGATTCTTAGTATCCCCCATGCTGGGCTCGGGTTCATCCCGGGGTCAGGAACCCGCCAAGCGGCGGCCAACAGATATGAGCTCCATAGATGCCGAATGACAGCATATCTCCTTGTTTGCTTCTTACAGCGACTTGTTTCGCAGGACAATGGATATATCCCTCCATTTTTCGAAGCGCTTCATTTCTACAAAACGTCGTTGCTTCGCGAGGTCATGTACTCTTCATTCGCAGATCAGCGGCATCTCAAATCACTCCGTGCTCGCCTTCCCGACCTGTACGACTTCATACAAGATCCGGGACATCATCAACAGCCATGCGTCTACATTCGGATCTCGCCATGGCACAGCCCGTGCTACATTGGAGCCACAGATCAGGATGTTCTGCGCAGGGAGCATTCCCGCCCGTTGCCGCAAATATCTGCAACTCCTACGTGGCCAACATGCTTTCTTTGAACCAGCACTTCATTATTGGAAGCGAGCCAACAATTACTGGCTATTCTGTGCGATTCCTATTGAGATCCGACTCCCCACTTTTTCGGTGTGGGTCCAGGAAAGCAAATGGCAATATACGCTTCGACCGCACTTAAATGCGCCTGGGTACACAGACTTCTTCGGAAAATTTGATTCCGTGAACATTTGGTTGACTTCAGACGGCACTCGATCTCATCGCCTACGTCGTTGTCCCTTCACAAGCGGTTTCGGCGGCGACTGCATCCGAATTTACATCGTCAACTACGACCTGACACGCTGGACGATATTCAGGCACATTACTCCACTTTGTATCAGTTAGGATCTAATACTGGTGCGTCGTTCCAAACTATGAGAGACCTTCTATCTGCGGCTTTCCCGCCGACTCAGCTTTATTATTTTCTGCGACTCGCTTCATTTGTCAATGAGCCGTTCCGCTCCAAGGCCCAGGAGCTTCTCGCTCAGGTCTTGCACAAGCGAAAACTCCAGGTGCCAGCCACTCTGACACAATTGCCACTTCCGCCTCTACATGCTCGAGACTGGAAAGCGCGACTCGGAACCTGGTTGCTACGGTGGGTGGCATCGCATCGCAGTTTCTTCCCTTCATAACTCCTTCCTAAGATCCGCGTCGTTGAAACTCGCAGTGCGACCCTGGGTGATCGTATTTACAACTACCGCAAATGGCAGCAAATCGTATTTACAACTACCGCAAATGGCAGCAAAGATGGGCTCCGGACACTTCCTTTCCGTGTCGCTGCATCGACGTGGACGATCGCACCACATTTCGTGCGCATTCTCATGCTGTTATTTTGAATGATTTCCAATGCATCAATGCCACTATTGACTCCGACATTTTGTCCGCCTCTATTGATAAACTTCAGCAACGCTTCACTTCACAACTTCGCAAATTGGCACGCAGATGGAGGTTGCAAGGGTCCAGTTTTGATGTTGATTCCCGGCCCATCTTGTCTGAGTTATTTGATGAACACCGCTGCAATGTCCAAGACCAGGCACACTGGACCTCTGAGTCATTTCAACCCACGGCTCGTGCCCTTACTGCGTGGGTTGTCATTCCGGCTGATCATTTTCCTTCACGTGCTCACGTGCTTTGCCCGGCCTTGTTTTCCATTCTGTCGCACAAGACCTTTTGCACAGGAGAAGTATTTGCATTATGCAAAGAACCTGCCGCCTCCTTTCGCGCTGAAGTCGTCACTACGATACCTCCTCGACTACAACACCGATATGCCTGGGGACTACGACTTCAAGCTCCTCTTCCCACCGCACGCATTCTGCCCAAGCCGACCAAGGACTGGCTCAAAGCGAGACCAATCATTTCTTTCTTCCGTACGTGGGCAGCACCTCTCCGTACGGTCTTCGGGGCCCTCATCTTTGAGCTCACCAAAATCACCTTTCCGGACGTCCCGGCACAGCTTTCAGTTCAGGACCTGGTCCATCAGCTCTGGGAAGCATTGTCTTCCGCAGACCCTACTGAATACATGCAATTGGTGTCGCAAGACTTGTCCGGCTTCTTCACTTCTATTCCCACAGAACGGTTTCACCAAGCTCTTCAAGTTCTCCTTCATCGATATGATCGAGTGGTGGGACTGCGCAATGTGTCACACTGGTCTGTATATGAAGTAAAGT